CCATATTCTGTCGAAAGGAGACTGCCTCCTGTGAAGATTTTCTGAAACCAGTATTGTATGGAAATGGTGTAAGTCCTAATTTAGTAACCTGAAGTTATCCCTCTTTTATGAGGCATAAAACTCCTCCTTGATAAATAAACACGACTAATGAAATGTTCTTAGGAAAACTGGCATCAACAATGATAAAACATCCAGAGGAGTCTGTAAATACCCATTTGAGGGGCTATATAAACGGGAAGGAAGAAGACTTTTGGAGTCGGGTAACTTGAGTTCTGCACCTGGTCTCAGTTCTTCACTTCTAATAGGATGGCCTCTGACTGTTCTCCCACACACTGCTCTTCTGAGTCTGGTGCCAGGGCTTCTGATTGTCCATCTGTTTCAACTTGTCCTGTGGAAACAACCTGTCTCCCTGCCTGTGCTACCTCCAGATGCCAGACCCCCAGCTTTCTGTCCAGGTCTTACTTGTCAACTGGTTGCCTCACACCATGCTACTTTGCTGGGAGTTGTAATGTTCCATGCTTGGTAGGGAGTGGTCCTTGGTGTGAAGATGGGGTGTTCAACAGTAATGAGAAGGAGACAATGCAATTCCTGAATGACAGACTTGCCAACTACCTGGAAAAGGTGCGAGCCCTGGAAGAGGAGAATGCAGAGCTGGAAAGCAGGATAAGAGAACAATGTGAGCAGGGAATCCCACTGGTGTGTCCCGATTATCAGTGTTACTTCGACACCATTGAAGATCTCCAACAAAAGGTCTGGCGTCTCATTGCCCTAATCCCTCTGTTTCCCCCATCTGTCGCTTGCTTTGTTTTTATACCTGAAGAGGATGTTTTAGGCAAGAAAAGAAACGAAGGGAGAAGGGAATTCCAAGAGCTAATGGGATGTAGGAGCTCTGGTGGCCTAGTGCCTAAGGCATTTGTCTGCTAACCACAAAGCTGGCGGTTCAAACCCACCAGCCACTCCATGGAAGGAAGACTGGGCAACCTACTTTCATGAAGATTTAGTGCCTCAGAAACCCAAAAGGGGGTCACTATGAGTCAGAATCGACTCAATGGCAGTGAGTTTAAGTTTTTGGTAATGGGATGTAGTGGAAAGAGCTCTGGATTATTAGTCAGGAAACATCACTACTAGCCCCAGTGCTGCCACTAATTAGTTCAGTGACAATAATAAAGTCACTTATCTACAGGCTGTGCCTTTATCATTTATAAAATCAAGGAAAATTGTATTATATCTAAATTTGCTTCTCATGTAACACTGTGCATTTGTATTATTTTTAACACAGAAAATGAAATGTTAACTTTTTAATCATATAATTTCACCTAGTAACCATTTTCTTCTTCTACCGCAGAATTTTTATCATTATGGATGGGGTTCTATATAGCCATGCTACAAACTACTTACAGAGAAAAATGTAACTGTGTCCAATTCCCAAGCAATATTGCAAAACGTCTTGTAGTCATAAAAAATAAGCCATTTTATTTCTCTATTTTGTTGCCAAGCCATCACTTTTTTCTTCATGAGGGACATCATTAATCAGAAAAGCAGGATGAAAGCTATTTTATATTTTCCTACAAATATTTTAAAGGATAAATAGTTATATAGCTACTAAGTGAATAGATTCCTAGGACTCTTTCAAAGAATCATTTGTTACATGATAACTTACTTCCTAGATCTTGTGCACAAAGGCAGAGAATTCCAGACTGGCGATACAGCTTGACAACTGCAAACTGGCTGCTGATGACTTTAGGTCAAAGTAAGTTTAATTTGAATTTGAAAATATTTTATAATTCCCCTTTTCTCTTCTGTCTGTCTGTCTCTCTCTCTCTCTCCCACTTTTTCTCATGCACACTCACGCTTGGTACAAATAGTCCCTATGTAATATTTTTAAGCTAAAAATGCTCACGAAACTCAATTATATACTTATCTGGGATGTAAAAGAAATTAGAGTATGTGGCTCCCTTGAAGGAGCTCTGGTGGTGCAGTGGTTAAAGCACTTGGCTGTTAACCAAAAAGTCAGCAGTTTGACCCTACCAGACACTCTGCAAGAGAAAGATGAGGCAGTCTGCTTTTGTAAACATTACAGCCTTGGAAACTCTATGGGGCAGTTCTACCCTGTCCTATAGGGTCACTATGAGTTGTAATCAACTCAAAAGCAGTGGGTTGGTTTTTTGTTTTGTTTTGTTTTGTTTTGGCTCTCTTGACTCCAGGTGTCATTCATCAGTGTACCCCGATGACTTTGCACAGCGCCTAGCAGAGTAAGCACTGCATATATCTCTTTTGCTGTGACAGGTACGAGAGTGAACTGTCTCTCCAGCAGCTGGTGGAGGCTGACATCAGTGGTCTGCATAGGATCCTGGAAGAGCTGACCCTGTGCAAGTCTGACTCAGAGGCCCACGTGGAGTCTCTGAAGGATGATCTCCTTTGCCTTAAGAAAAGCCATGAGGAGGTGAGGAAAGTGGGAAAGTCTGAAGGACTCTAAGAGTGACAGAGTTAAAGTGATAGACATCATGTACAAGTATATAAATTGAACCTAGGTTGATGTTGCTTAAGCTAGAACAAAATTACCCCAGGCACTCTTACTATTAGACCTGATCATTTCAGTGCATCTCTGAATACAGATATGAAATAACTTGGGCCAGCACCATGGGAAGGAACCAAGCTTCACTTGCCATTGCTTTAGTGCAGGAGGGGAGTGACTGCACAAAGCGTTCTCCTTGAAGACTTTATGCCACCCATAACTTCAATCCAAAGGATACAAAAATCAGATGATAAAAACTAACTACAAAGTCCATTTCAGAAAGGAGATACTCATGTAGTATCTCTACATTATTCTAAATGTTCTATACTTAAAATTATAAAACATGAAGTATATGATTATCCCATATTGATGAGGTTGGGAAATGGAAAGTTGAATGATGTAACAAAGGACATTTTCTCTGTGAACATATGTCAATGATAATAATAGCAAACATTTATTGAGAACTCACTATGTGCCAGGAGTTGTTTAAGTTATATGGATATGTATATTAATTCTCATACAGCTCTGGAAAAGGGACTATTATGATATCTATTTCTCAGTTGAAAAAAGCGAGGCACTTATAAGTGGTGACAAGAGAGTCAAATCCAGAACACCTGAATCTGAACTCCACACTGTTAGTCACTTGTCAAAAAAAGGAGAAACAAAATGCCACTGGGGTAGAATGCAAGGAGCTCTGGTGGCACAGTGCCTAAGGCATTTGATTGCTAACCAGAAGGTTGGCGGTTCAAACCCACCAGCCACTCCATAGAAAGAAGATGGGGCAATCTACTTCCGTAAAGATTTACCACCTCAGAAACCCAGTGGGGGTCACAATGAGTTGGAATCAACTCAATGGCAGTGAGTTTGGGTTTGGGGGTTAGAATCCTGTCAAATTGATTTCCCCACCACCACCATTTTGTGACATTCCTCATCCCAATTCCACTTTCAGGAGGTCAACTTGCTTCGTGGACAGCTTGGTGACCAACTCAATGTGGAGCTAGAAACTGCCCCCACGGTTGACCTCAACAGGGTCTTGGATGAGATGCGCTGTCAGTATGAAACAGTGCTTGCCAACAACCGCAGAGACGTGGAAGAATGGTTTGCTACTCAGGTCAGCCAGCACCTGCAGCCAATCTAATAGCAGGCCACCAGACTTGTGTCTTGCTTGCCTTCTCTAACCGAGCCTGTGTTTCAGACAGAAGAGCTCAAGCAGCAGCAGCTGTCCAGTGCGGAGCAGTCACAGGGCTGCCAGACAGAGATCTCAGAACTGAAACGCACGGCCAACACTCTGGAGATTGAGCTCCAAGCCCAACAAAACTTGGTGTGTAAGGGAAAGACAGCTGTTGTCTCACTGATAATGCAGACCCTGAGACACTCTCTCTACTTCCACAACCCAAAGGAGAGACTCACAGTTCGTGTGTCAAAGGGCCAAATTTCCAATTTGCAGGAATTATATTTCCTTGCCCCTCCTGCTATTTACCTAGTGAAAAGCAGGAATGACAGGTCAATAGTATGTATTGTCACAAAGCAAGTTGACCTCCTGGAAAGTGGAAATGGGATGAGGAATGTCATAAAATGGTGGTGGGGGGATCAATTTGACAGGATTCTACCCCCCGAGCTAAAACTCACTGCCCTGACTTTTTCTCCTGGACTTGAGCACAATCCCACAGCACCTTCCAGAGAAAGGGGGAGAGAGAGAGGCCAGGAGCAGAGAGACAGGGACCTCTCAGCCAAAGGTGATAAGCATGAGTTGTAGTTCTCTTTCAATTCAGGCATATTTTCCAGGCTCACCACCATATCTAAAACAAAGCATAGTTTTCAGATTTTTATTCCTACAACTATGCTAAAGTTTTTTCCAGGGTCAATTCACACCTCCACCTGATCCTACCTTATACCCCAATCAAGCAACTACAACACTATGCATTCAAGAAGTTATAATGACCCCTATGTGTGCCATGTTATGCTATGGAGAATAACTAGATGAATAACAGATGTGCATTCATTCTGTGAGAGCTACTATGCTAATTTAATCCTCACAATAATGTTATGGGGTAAATGCCTTTACTAACTCCATTTCACAGATAAGGAAAACTGAGGCTTAACTGGTAAGGGGTCATGCAACTTTACAAGGCAAAAGTGGGAGCTGAATCTAAGTGGTTCAACCCTAGAGCCTCCCTCTTCTGTTCACCACACTCTACTGCCTCTCCCTGCCAGGATCCATACTCAACATTTCCTCTCAAATGCTAATGATCCTTCTTAAGCTACAGAACTATAAGTTGTAGGTTGTGATGGTTGTAGTGTTGTGGTAATAGCTAACACTTACATGGCCCTCAGGGTTTTTCCAGGCACTGTTCTAAGTGCTGTATACATATTAATTCATTTAATCCTCACAACCATCCTATGAGATAGGACCTTTGCATTCCCCGATTTGTATTTGATAAAAATGAAGCTTAGAGAAGCTGAGTAATTTTCCCAAGATCGCACAGCTGGGAAAGAGTTGAGCCAGGATTTGAACACAGGCAATCTAGTCCAAGTGGCTGTGCTACATAGTTCTAGAATTTTTTTTTTTTTTTAACTCCTGCAGACAGACTCTCTGGAATGCACTGTGGCAGAGACCGAGGCCCAGTACAGCTCCCAGCTGGCCCAGATGCAGTGCCTGATTGACAATGTGGAGACCCAGCTGGCCGACATCCGCTGTGACCTAGAGCGGCAGAAGCAGGAGTATGAGGTGCTGCTGGACACCAAAGCCAGGCTGGAGTGTGAGATCAACACATACCAGGGCCTCCTGGAGAGTGAGGACAGCAGGCAAGTACCCACAGTCATAAAATCCCTCACAGCCACAAAGAAGTGGAAAGTGAAGCTCTAATGTCAGACAGGGAGCTCTGGTAGAGTAGTGCCTAAGGCACTTGACTACTAACCAGAAGGCTGGCGGTTCAAACCCACCAGCCACTCCTCAGAAGGTTTGGCAACCTACTTCCGTAATGATACCGCCTCGGAAACTCAAGGAGGGGTTGCTATGAGTTGTGGCCGACTCGAGGGCACATACAACAACAACAATGTCAGACAACCCCATTGCCCCAAGGTTTTGGCCAAGGTCAAACCTCACTACTGTGTTAAGGGATCTTCTGGAAAGATCCCTTCTTAGAAGAGAGCTTCTGAAAAGCAGTATAACCAAAATGTTCTGGAATATTCTGAAGTTCAAAAGCAGAATACTTGTCACATATAACATTTCATGCTGGGAGTCTCCTTTTGTTCCCATTTTCCACTAAAGGGAAATCAGGAACACTACTAATAAGGCATTTGCAAAATGAAGAAAATATGTATTATTCAAAGTCATTGTTGGAGTAAGCATCAAGTGACAGTTCTGGGGCCAGGGATGAAATAGGCTTAAATCGAATGTTATTCTACAGTTTTCTTCAGAACATAATTTGTAAGGCAACTTTTGGTATTATTTTCCTTAGCTGACATTTTATCAAGCATTTCCTTCTCAAGCTTAAGTTTAAAATTGTTTTTCCCCAGAATTTCTCATAACCCATGTTCTACAACGTGCATGTCAAGCAACGCCTGTGAGCCGTGCTCGGCTTATATCATTTGCACAGTTGAAAACTGCTGTGTTTGAATGCAAACACCAAGCATGGCTGATGGAAGAACTGAAGCCGGTCCACTGCAGTTTCCTAGAAAGGAAATGGGGCTTAACCAGGGACTTTCAAACCTGAAATGCATGCCAGGAAGGCTTTCATATCCTAAAGTTGTCCTCTAAGCATCCTGGGTATATTTCTGCTTTATCATTTCCTCTCCTGCCTGCTTATTTATGGTATTCTAGGAATTCATATAAGGGTTTCTTGCTCACCTCCAAATAAAATGTATCTCATTCTTTTGTGATGGTAAATACAGCTTTGTAGTTTATTACTGTTGCTATAGTAGTCTAAGTCTTACAAATAGCCATTTGATCTCAGGAGAATCATCTAGATCTATGCCCATAGTGTGATTTGGTATGAACCCAGGCTGAGAGTCGTTTAACTCCTCAAATACAACTAGATTAATCCATGCAAAATATCATAAATAAGGGAAGCCGGTTGTATGACTTTTTCTGAGAGGAAATTTAGAAATAAATGCAATAAATTTTATTTTATACTTAATTATAAAAGCTATGTTTAATTATACAAGATTCTCTCTCTCTTTTCTTAATACTCATAATTCCAAACATCTACAGTCAATATTTTGGGGAAATTCCTTTCTGTTTCTTGTTCAAAATAGGTTTTTCTATATAGCTGTACTTATACTTATGAGCTCTGGTAGCATAGTGCCTAAGGCACTTGACTGCTAACCAGACGGCTGGCAGTTCAAACCCACCAGCCACTCCTCAGAAGGAAGATGGGGCAATCTATTTCTGTAGTGACCCTGCCTCGGAAACCCAAGGAGGGGTCGCTATGAATCAGGTCCAACTGGACAGCACATAACAACAACAACAACATAGTTGTATAACATACTTACATATAGTCATATAACATATTTTTTTCATTTATGTCATCTAAGCATTTCTTAATAAAAACATAACATTGTCTTTTTTTTTTTTTTTTTGGTGAGTTGGTTGAAAATTTACAGAGCAATTTCACTTTCCATGCAGCAGTTCACATACACTTTGTCATAACATTGACCACAATTCACTGCAATACAACAGCTCCCCTCCCACTTCCTCCCAACTGTCACCTCTTCCCTATGTCCATCCCTCCATGCACTCCTGCCCCCTGAGCTGTCTCCCTGTGCATAAACAGCCCTTCTTTCTCCCATGATTGTTCTCTCCAAGGAGTGTATCTACCTCAGGTACATGTTCAACTCATATGCCTGTCTTTTGTTTGGCTGGAAGCCACAGGTGTGGGTTCAGTTCTAGACCTGAAGGGCAGCTAGGGGCCATAGTCTCAGTGGTTCCACCAGGCTCTATCAGACCAGCAAACCATTTTTTTTTCCAAATGATTTTGAGTTTTGTTCCACATTGTTCTCCCTCTCTATCCAGGATCTCCTACATAGATCCGCCTCCAAGTGGTTGACAGTGGTAGCCAGGAACCATTTAGTTCTTCTGGTCTCATAGTTATATAGGCTGAGGATCACATGGTGTACCAGTTGCTAGGACTAATTCTTTCCATGATTTTTGGTATTCTTCATTCTTCTTTGCTCTGGACAAGCAGAGACCCATCGTTGCATCTAGATGGCTGCTTGCAAGCTTTTAGGATCCCAGTTGCTACTCACCAAAGTAGGAGGTGGAACAATGAAAAACATAACATTGTCTTATGACCATTATTTTAGTGACTGTATAATAAACTATCACGTATAATGATTTTTCATTAGACAATTAGGTTATAAGTATAATTATTTACATATTTAAAAAGCAATGTAGAAAACACAAGATAGGCTCATAAAATAAGGAATATCACCCATGAGTACTGCAGACCTTTAAAAATATGAGACCAGAAAGTCAACAATTACTCGAAAGCAAAGATGAGAAGGTAAAGGGGCAGAGAAATTAGTTCACTGGAAAAGGAGCGACCAAAACGGAAATAATGAGACAACTGATACATTGTAAAAAATGTCACCAATATCACAGAAAAATGTGCACAGAAATTGCTAAACAGAAACCTCATTTGCTGTGTAAAATTTTTACTGAGAACACATTATTATGTAAAGAAAATAAACAAAGGCAATGTAGTGAATGCCCACCTCCAGAAAGATGGGTAAGCATGCATTTTCTATTCTTCCCACTGAGTATAGCTAAAAACCCTGGACATTAGATAGAGAACAAATACAAGTCAACCCTGAAAAGTAAAGAGAAGTCAGGCTAACTAGACCTCAAGACCCAAGGAACAACAGGGTGGTGGGTTAGTTGGGTTTCCTTTTTGGCTCGTGTATCTCAGTGTGGCTGCTGAAGAAGTCAGCAACCCAACAACATGAACAGTTGCAGACCAAAAACAAAACAAACCTACCAATTCTACTCAAACTCTTCCAAAACATAAAAAAAGAAAAAGAGGAAAGATGTCCTAACACATTCTATGAGGCCTACATTACCCTGATACCAAAGCCAAACCAAGACACCACAAGAAAATAAAACTACAGACCAATATCCCTCATTAATATGGATGCAAAAGTCCTAAACAAAATACTGGAAAATTGAATCACCATAACAAAGTATGGTATCTCGGGAATACAAGGGGCTTTCACATGAGAAAATCAATCGGTTATCTACTTCTGAAAATCCTATGGATCACAATGAAAACCCTATAGGTCACAACAGTTCAATCTACAACCCATCAGAAGGATGGCACAGGACCAAGCAGCATTTCATTCCATTGTGCATGAGGTCTCCATGAGTAGGGGCTGACTCCGTGGCAGCTAACAATAGTGAACCATATTAATAGAACAAAGAGGAGAAAACACATGATCAACTCAACAGATGCAGAAAAGATCTGAAAAATTCAACACTCTTTCATGATTAAAAACAATACTGAAGACAGCAAGAGTTGGAAGACTCACATTTCTTGGTATCAAAACTTACTACCAAACTACAGTAATCAAAACAGTCTAATAATGGCATAAGGACAGATCAGCGGAATAGACTGAGAATCCAGAAATAAACATAAACATCTATGGCCAATATATTTTCACCAAGAGTGCCAAAACTTCCTATACACAAGTCAACAACTAGTTGTAATGTGGAAATTGAAAAAATACATATTATACACAAAAACTACAAAGTTCCTGGGAATATACGTAAAATTAAGAGGTACAAGACCTTACTGAAAGACATAAAGGAGAGCTAACTAAATGGAGAACTCTGCTTCTCAGGTTATGGTATGAAGACCCAGTATGGAAAGCGTAGATCAATTATTCCCCATAGAATCTATAAATTTCAACTTTATTTTTTGATTACAATCAAAATCCCAATTAAGTTTTCCTTGAAATTGGGAAGCAATTGCTACAATTCATATGGAGAACAAATGGTCCGGAGGAATCAAATCTATTTTGAAAAGTATAAAGGTCAGAAAGAAATACTGAGTTGTGATGAGCATGGATTCTAAGTTTTGAATAGTGACTTTCCCAGTGACTAGCTGTGTACCATGGGCAAGTTACTCAATCCCTTTGTGCCTCTGTTTCCTCTTTAGTGAATGGGAATAATTATTAGTATCTCTTCATGGAGTTTTTGTCTGAGGAGAGAAGAAACACAGTGTCAATGTCAAACTAAAGGGATGGAAAGGAAGAAGGAAGCTAAAAGAATGGTGTGATGTAGGAAGTTGGTGAGACAAATGGTTCAAGATTTAAATCTGCAGACCCAGGCCTTGGCACCCAACCAGGTGAGGAATAGATTTTTAAGGGAACCCACAGCAATCATATGGGCTTCTTCCACACATGATAAATGGGGCCAAAGTCATTTTTAACAGTAGACAGTGTGTGTGTATATA